TATTTTTAGTAGAGACGGGGTCTCGCTCTTGCTCAGGCTGGTTTCGAACTCCTGAGCTCAAACAATCCGCCCGCCTCGGCCTCCTAGAGAACTAGGATTACAGGCATGAGCCACCACGCCCGGCCTAAAGGATGACAATTTTGATAGTCTCCAGAATTCTATTAATCTGCGTCAAGATTAGCTGGAGTGGGTGGGCCAAGACCCTGTATTCCCCGTAGATCATGGGTCCTAATGAAGTATTTTATGGATTGAAAATGTTTTTAAATCATTGATTAGGGCTCTAGGTACTTATTATATTTCTGCTATGTACTAGAATAATTTGTGAAATATGGTGAAATATGTCTATATTAGAAAAATTGGTCAACTTTATCACAAATCTATATTGGGACATTTTTCCTATTTGTCACCTGTGTTGTCCAGTTCCTGCACATTATTTTGCTAGGACTTTATCTTTCTTCCAATTTTAATCTCAGTCTGGCATTTATTCTGAAATAAAGTAGTGAAACTTTGTAGGTTACCAACATCACCCTTACTCATTGGAAAGAGAACCTATGGACTTTGGGAGTTGAAACTATGTAGTTGAGGGGCAAGGAACCTGCGGCTTTCTAGATCCTTTTATTAAAAGGATTTGCTCTGTAAAATTTGGATTCAGTCAAAAGGCTTCATTTAAGGATCTAGAATGCCAAAGGCTGCAGATTCCCTACCCCAATCTAGTTTCTATCTTATCTTCTACCGCTCCCTGTCTGGGTGAATTTGGGCAGGTAATTTAAGCTTTCTGAGCCTCAGTTTCAGCTCTAAAATTATATTGCCTCTTTCACTCAGGGTTGTTGTGGGCTTAAATATGGTAATATTTATGAAGAGCCTAACACTGCATCAGTCTTGTTTCCTTCCCTTCCTCCCTGCTCAAAATTTGTTCTTCCTTAGGCTTCTTCTCCTTTCTCTGAAAAATTTTGGAGAAATCTCCTTTGAGTTACCTCTTGTTCCTCTCATCCTTTTAAACAGTATTAAACTGAGTGTAGCCCTCAGTTTCATTCTGTGTATCTGTGGTTTCCACCTTAAACTCATTCATGTTTCCATTAGAACTTCTGTCAAAGTGATGCACAAACATACGTGACATGGACAGAGAATTTCTGTGTTAAATGGCTTTTATCTAAAGCGGTTCTTACATGTTGGAAGTCATGGTCGTGGTCATGGTGCTCTTGGGTAACACTTTTTGTAGGACATAATGAAACACATTTAATTTTATCACACAGTCTGAGAACAAATGGACCAGCGGAAAACTATTAATAGTATATTATTTATATAAGGTAAAATTAGTTATCTGAGATAAACAAGTACAGTCAGATTTCTCATAAGTATGTGTATATATATTGATTATTTCAGAGAAATTAGAGAAGTCAAAATTGAGAAAGCTCTGTTAATTTTTTTTTCTCCCTATAAAACAGTGAGTAAAAATCCATTTTGGTGGTAGAATACTTGGGTCTGGCTCTTAAGATTATAGTTGGGAAAACCTGAAGCTAAAATGTATTTGCTTGCTCTTAGGTTATCTAGAGGCCTCCCCTAGCTCCATGTAACTCATCCTTCAGGTCTCCTGGGCTCAACTTTCATTTTTCATTTTCTCTTGGCTTAACTCTAAACATCCATCAACTCATGCTTTTTCTCTGGTATACTTTATATTCTCCCTTTACGTTTTGTTCTTATTCAAAGTAAGGCCAGTGGATTCTCCTTCCTAAAGATCTTGCATTCCACCTTCCCCCCCTTCTTTCTCTCCACTCTCTGCAATCGTAACACATCATCCCTCCTGGTCTGCTATCGCAGTTTCCTGAGATGTCTTCCTGCTTCTGGTCTTATTCTGCCCCCTCTCAGGTTGCTTCCACACTGCTGTTTGAGTAAACCTTCCTAAGTCACAAATCTGTGTCAAGCAGTCCTCCATCTGAAAACTCTTTTGAGACAGACCCCTGTTACACATAGAAGTAAGTGAACTCTCTAGCATGGTGTACAGGCTGTGGGCAGTATCTTCCTCATCTCTTGCAACCTCCTACTCAGGCTGCACACTTCTGTTCTCAGCTTCCATACCCACGTTGAATTACTCTAACCATAGTTCTTAAGAAGTGTCAAATTTGCCTCCATGAGTTTGAATGCACTGTCCAGAAGATCTTTGTCCACTGGGTGATTTCTTCCTCGAGGCTCAGTGCATTGTCATCTTTTTAACCTCTCTACCGAGGCAAAGTTCAGTATTTTGTTCTCTGTTCTCATAGCCTTTTGTAGACATACATTGTTTCTGTGACTTTTGCATGTCTCTGTCCTTTCCATTAAGTGTGTGCTTCCTTGGATCAGAGATTATTTCTCTCTTATCCTCTTTGCCTGACTCATAGCAGATTTCTTCATAAATATTGAATGAATGGGTCTGGTAGAAAATGTTGGATTGTTTATACTGTATTTATAGGAGAGTTAATATTTTCACTTTAAGTTTTTTGTGTTAATATTTAATATTTCATTCTAAAGATGGTGGAACCAGGGCAAGATTTACTGCTTGCTGCTTTGAGTGAGAGTGGAATTAGTCCGAATGACCTCTTTGATATCGATGGTGGCGATACGGGGCTTGCAACTCCAACACCTACCCCTCCAGTTCAGCAGGTAAGAGTTTTCTAAAGCCTCTGTTTCTTAATTTGTAATTTCCGCTTACAGAAATATATATTTTTAAGCCTTAATTTTTAATACATATGTGAATGTTATTTTTATGTTACTAGTTTTCATTTATGAAGTCGAAAATACTCTCAATGAAAACTAAGACATTAATTTCTGCTTTGATGTTATATATGTGTACAGTAAACATAAGAGATAAATTATTTAGAGTTTGTGTGGGAGTGTCTTTATTTTCCTTAATAGTTGTCTTATTTATTTAGGGACATTCTTCTGTAGTTTGACTATACACATTCTCTGAAAGCAAAAATAAGATTTAAACGTTAGTTTTGTGGAGATTTTATGTTTGCAAAGATTGTTATGTTATATCTGGTTTTAGTGATTTCACATTCAGTTTGAATGTAAGGCTTGGCCTTTTTTTTGTTTTAATAAAATAAATGCAACTCTGTTCTCAAAACAGAATTCGTTGATGTTGTTTTCTCTCAAGTCAGTGCCACTTAGTGCATTAGAACTAGGTTTGGAGACCGAAGCAACAGTTCCTGTTAAACAAGAACCAGAGACGGTACCTACTCCAGCACTACTAAATGTGAGGGTAAGAATTTTTAGATTTGGCGTTACTTCCAAAATAGTTTAGGATTGTAGTAAGAAAATAATCTATTAATGTGAAATAGATTTATCTCCTGAGTTCTGCTTTTTACCACTTTCTCAATATCCTATCCTTACCTCCTACTTTATAAAACATTTCTTTCACTCCTTTGGTACTTACCAAAAGATAATTCAATATCAAATCAAAATCAAAATATCAAAAGATATTAGAACAAACAGAACTTTTTTTAGTTTATTCATTGCAAATGATACAAAATTCACAAAGTAAAGATGAAATGCACATTATTCTACTGCTCTTTCCTTTTTTGCTTATTTATTTCAGCTTTTGTCCATTGATATTTATAATTTTTATGGTATGATAATTGTACTTTGAATATGAAGTTCCTCTGAGCTTACCTTAAATATAGAGCAATTATTAACTGAAGCCTAATGGGATAAAATTATTGGACAAACTGGCTAAAATTTGATAATTTGTGATAAATTATTGAGAATTTTGTTTAAAAGTGATAAATAGTAATCTAGAAGACTCTTATTAAAGGAGTCATGGAGAAATAAATAGTTTGAGAAGGAAAGAAAGTAGAAATAGATTTAAATTTATAAAAGCGTCTCAGTGTTACTTGCAGTCACAGACATATTGTTATCTTCAGATTGACATCATTTTTTTTTTTTTTCATTTTTCTCTGGTTTTCCCCACCTCATCCCCTATGAAAAATAAAATGTTCTGTAACTTTGTAGTAGGTTCAAAGATAGCACCCACACTATCACCAGTAATTGTATTATACCTGACTGGGTTCATTCGTGCGACATAAGAATTTAAAACTCTGGTTGTTTTTGTCTTTTTATATTCTAAACTTTAGTGTGGTCTGTGTGACAGCAAACGAAGCATTGAACAAGAATCACAGAATGTTAGGAAATGTGTCTCAGAGAACCCAGGCTTCCAGGGGCTTAAGGTTATCTACCTGGTTGGGCAGTTGTGGCATTAGAAATTCTTTCAGTTACCAATCCTTAATTCTATAGGGTCACTGTACGTCACAGTTGTATACTATACATCACAGTTTGCTCGGGACAGTTCCATTTTATGCTTTCTGTCTCCAATGGTTATATAAAATGCTGCACTACTACTGTACCTTCTTTTCCTCAAAGTGGTGCCTTTTAACTTGGTAGTTTATAGCTAATCAAATTAAATTAGAAATGAAGTGCCAATAGGCAAGAGTAAAAGTCAATTTTAGATTTCTCAATGGCCCACTGTGTTTATGGATGTAGGCCTTAGAGAATAAAGCATTTTTCAGTGGTGTAATGTCTTTTGTTTTCTAGCAGCAGCCTCCGTCTACTACAACATTTGTGCTGAATCAAATAAACCAGCTTCCAACCTTGGGATCTACAATTGTAATGACTAAAACACCACCTGTAACAACCAACAGGCAAACTATCACTTTAACTAAGTTTATCCAGACTACTGCAAACACACGCCCTTCAGTCTCAGCACCAGCAGTACGAAATGCTGTGACCTCTGCGCCTTCAAAAGACCAGGTTCAGCTGAAGGATCTACTCAAAAATAATAGTCTTAATGAACTCATGAAACTGAAGCCACCTGCCAATATTGCTCAGCCAGTTGCCACAGCAGCTAGTAAGTCTGTTTTCAGTAGTATCAACTTATTCTACCTTTGGTAAGCTATGTCAAAGTGGTTTTTTAAAGGATTTTCTTGAGTTTTAAAAGAACTAGGCATGAAAGAGATATTACCTGCATTATCTTGTACACTTACAACATTTGTACAGTTGAAGGGAAGCAGAAATTTATTTAGGTGCTTGAATAGAGTGTATAGCTTTGAAATGAAGTTTGTCAGAGTATCAGGTAGCTTCATTAACACCATGAGATCATCTCAGTTTTACATACTCTGAAAAGCCAGTTAATGTTTTTCTTAATCCTTTAAAAAATCAGTGCTTATGGCCGGGCGCGGTGGCGCACGCCTGTAATCCTAACATTCTGGGAGGCTGAGGCAGGCGGATCGTTTGAGCTCAGGAGTTCGAAACCAGCCTGAGCAAGAGCAAGACCCTATCCCTACAAAATATAGAAAAATTAGCTGGGCATGGTGGCATGCACCTGTAGTCCCAGCTACTCGAGAGGCTGAGGCAAGAGGATCCCTTGAGCCCAGGAGTTTGAGGTTGCTGTGAGCTAAGCTGTTGCCACAGCACTCTATTCAGGGCTCAAAAAAAAAAAATAGATTTTATGTCAGATAGGGATGAGTGCTTTGGAGAGAAATGAAAGGTGGGGTGTGGGGCAGTAAGAGGTTACTGTTTTAAATGGAGTGGTCAGAGGAAGCTTCCTATTCAGTGTAGTAGTAAGGGAATTTTTAAGGGTACAATAGAATTAATCTGTCCTTTTTTATTTTAACTTTGGCTGTTTGAAACTTGAGTAGTGTAGTTTTAGTTTTAGAAACTGAAAAATGTGAAATTCTAAGAGGAAGATTCTTTTCTTCCCTTCTCTGTTGAGTTACAGAGTATTTGAGTCCCTATTATATACCATGGTGGGCACTGTTGGAGATACTAACCCTGACTTGAAATACTCTGAGCTGACCAGTATTTTATAGTTTCAGCACAGGAATGGATATGTTTTTGTTTTGGGGTCGGTTTCTTTGGGATTGTTGTGTTTTGGGATCAAGAGGCTAGAATGAAGGGGATGAGCTATAAAGCATGTTCCTGATGATTTATACTAGTACATACATAGCATCCTATCAGGCTCTTGGAATGAGGTGATGGATATTGAATAGACAGTTTCTCTTTCCAGAGAGCTTCTTTATTTTTCCATTTGTGGGAAATAATTTTTAATACTTCACATAAAATGATATGTAAGTTTGTGACAGAATTGACTGCTTGGAAGTTGTAATGTGCTTGTGTTTTTATAAGTAGAGGGCTAGGGGCATTCTGAAAGGATGGGCAGGAAGTGTTTGTAGGATGATGTAGAACTTTGTTTCCAGTAACATGAAATTAAAATTTTCAGATACTCTAATCTTTGTGTTTGGGTCCATATCATTGTGACCTTGTGGCTGTAATTTTTTACTCAAGGTCATTGTCCTGAGCTAAAACTGCAATCTGGCAGCTAAATGCCAGTTGGGAAATCATTTTAGCTGTCTTAGGACTGATATCCTTTTTCTGCCATGGAGTGCAGGACTGTGTCCCTGACCTGGCTAAAGTGCAGGGCAGCATCTGGAATGGCTCTTCCAGGACTTGGGGCTAGTCAGCAGATAGTGGAAGATGCTTTTTGTTAGGGTCTTTGTATTTAATAAGGAAGCCTGTCCCTTTTATATGGGTGTCTTCCTGAGTGTTCCACTCCTCAAAGAAGCATATGCCATTATAACTTAAAGGAGTGGATGTGTGCCATTGTGAGGAAAGAGTTTAGAGAGCAAAACAGAAAGTGGGATAGATTTGGTTGCATAAGATCTAGTACAGTAAACTCTCCCACATTCAAGGTAGTAATTTTTAAAAGATAAAAGGCTGTAAATCAAGGCTGCCCTTGTACGGACACCTGAGAAACTCTGGCAGACTAGACCAGAACTGAAAAAGAAACATAGTAAGTGAATGCTGAAGATAAGCAAAGGTTTGTGTTGAAGGAGAGGGTCACCCTTTTGCTGAAGGGGGAGAACATTGATTATGAAACTGTGGAGAGCAAGGTTTTGCGTGCTCTTCTGTCTCTCATCTGTGTGGGTGTTGTCCCATTGGGAGCCCTTGGCCCTTTGGCTTTCTCTTTGGATTCTGATCTCTCACTTAAGTTTGTCTTGTAGCTCTGTGAACTGATTGATCACTGGCTCTTCCACAGTTAGTAAACAAATCATGCCCACAAATAACATTTGTCATCTCTTTTTTAGCTTCCTTATTTTGTTAATACTTTAATTAGTCCCACTCATTTTGGAGTCCTAAGTGATAGCTCCAAAATACGCATCTTTTGGTAAAATAGGTAAGATGCTAATCAGTCCTCCCACTGTTACCTCTTGTTTTTAAGGACAGTGGTTTTCACACTGTAATCCGAAGAATTCCAGGGACTGGGAGTACTTCTGGGATAGTGGAGGTTAAAGTCTGGTTACAGGGGTTCTGGACATGACAATCCTGTCCCTAAGCCCAATTCATTTAAGCAGTTGCTGCTGATATTTGGATTCCAGGATTCTATTGCTATATTTAAAAAGAGTTTGAAAACCACTGGTGTAGAAGAAGAAAGGGTCATTGTTTGGATCTTTATTCTGGGGGCAGGAGGAAAATGAGGAGTTCCCAGATTTTTTTTTTTTTTTCTGGAAATAATTATTTTGCCTTGAAAGTTTATAAATACCAACAAATCGGGTGAGATTGGTGAGATTGATTCTAGTTTGATGATAACACCAGGTGGTTTTTTTTTTTTTTTTTAATGAGCCAAGTGAAGTATCTAGAAGTAATATTGGCTCTTGGTATTTGTGGTTTTTTTTTTTTTTTTTTTTTAGACAGTCTTGCTCTGTTGCCCTGGGTAGAGTGCAGTGTCATTATCATGGTTCACTGCAACCTCAAACCCCTGGGCTCAAGCGATCCTCCTGCCTCAGTAGCTGAAAGTACAGGCACGTGCTACCATGCCCCTGGCTAATTTTTCTTTTCCATTTTTTGTAGAGATGGAATCTCGCTCTTGCTCAGGCTGGTCTCAGACTCCTGAGCTCAAGCGATCCTCCCTTCTTGGCTTCCCAGAGTGCTAGGATTACAGGCGTGAGCCACTGTGCCTGGTCTGCCTCTTGGTATTTATATTAAACTATCAAATAGTCTGATTCAGGTGTTTTTCTGATAAATCATTTTCAGATTTCCCATGCACACATTTTCTTTTGAGTTACTTATTTTCTAAAGTTAATTTTTTTTTTTATTTCTGCACCCTACCTCCCTGAAGTTAATTCTTATTTCCATGTTTTAATGCCTATGGTTAATTCAGTTAGTGATAGGCAGATTGATGTTCTTTGGTTTGTGAATTGGGTAAACTTTAATGAATTTTTGAACTATAGGAAAAGAAATTGCAATTTTCTTCTAAAATATAAATTTTGATTTTTTTCCCCTTCAGCTGATGTAAGCAATGGTACAGTAAAGAAAGAGTCTTCTAATAAAGAAGTAGCAAGAATATGGATAAATGATATGAAAATGAGGAGTTTTTCCCCAACCATGGTGAGTTTCTAATAGTTGTATCTATTTTTGTGTAGTATGAGAGTACACTTGACTAAAAGTGCTCTAGAACAGTCCTCACAACACTTTTTTTTGGATGGAAGGGGGCTACTCAGTTATATAACCTAATGGGTAAGTTTAAACTTTACTGTAATAAACTAACACATACTAAACATGGTGGTTAAAACTTGTAGATTTGATAGGATGTGGTATTATACACAGTGCTGACTTCTGTTTATTATGAATCTCACCTGCTCAGAAAAAAGAAATAACCAAAAATATTTGATAACTATGTTCATTTTAGCATTCAATATGAATATGTAGCTAATTATGAGCTGTCAGATCATATAATGGTATAGTTTTGAGTAATTTTATAATTTTTTTAACATTTGGGAAATACCATATATTTCAGATCAGTTGATTCTGTACATTTATTTAGTGGCCTCTGTATGTAACTGTGTGTGGTGGGTTTCTATAAGAATTATATTGTGTGATTCTACCTTCAATAGAATCTGACAACTGCCTGGATTAAGTAGTAATATAAACGGCACCTAAAGGTACAATGTGGTGCTCAAATTGTGATGCTTGGTTTTGCATCTGCAGAGACTTTGAGAGGGCATTTTAGGAGGGGAGTTAAAGCATTAGTAGACATGGTGGTAACTATGTGCTTAGGTGACAATAAGCCAGGATGCTTGTCTCGCAGGAAGAAATGAGAATGGTAGACTTGGGCTCTGTGGAACGTCCTGAGTTGAGTTTAAAGGACTTTGGACATGGTGCCAGTGGGGAGTCACTGCAAGTGGGGGGACCTGCTGGTGATACGGGATGGTGCATGTAGGGAAGAGAGGCAGGTTGGGAAGTTGGTTAATCTAAAAGGGAAGGAAGAAGGAGCTAAACTAGGCAGAGATTATTGGAAAAGTGTGAAGGGAAAAGAGAAATGAGAGATGACTGCACATCATGACAATACCAAAGGAAGGTTAGGACTGTGATGGGATATGGAATTAGAGACAGTACAGCAGCCTGCATCTGAGGTTTTGCACAGGGACCAGGAGAACCAGTGCTGGCGGTACCCAGTTAACTTAGTATCGTGTACCACCAGCAGCACTTGGAGGTTGATTTTTGGAAACTAAGAATGCATTTTCTTCCAGAAACTTTTTATGTACCTCTTATGTTCCCATTCCAGCCCATAATATACCAAAGGTTCTTTGTTGGGCTGGCAGTTGGGAAACATCTAACAGAGATTATAAACTGGTAGTCTGTGGATCAAAACTAGTTGACAGGTTTGTTTGGCTTTCAGAGTATTTTGAAGAATTTTGAATTCGTTGCTGATGCATAAAAGTCCTAATTCTGGCCAGGTGTGGTGGCTCACACCTGTAATCCTAGCACTTTGAGAGGCCAAGGCAGGAGGATCCCTTGAGGCCAGGAGTTTAAGACCGGCTTGAGCTGACCCCCTTTCCTACAAAAGATATTAAAAAATAAGCCAGGTTTGGTGAGTTACACCTATAGTCCCAGCTACTTGGGAGGCTGAGGCAGGAGGATCGCTTGAGCCCAGGAGTTGGAGGTTGCGCTGTGATACTGCTGCCCAGGTGATGGAGACCCTGCCTCAAAAAATCAATCAATGAATCCCGATTTCCAAGTTCTCTTGCAAAATAGGAGTACGTGACAACACTGGGCCCACATTCCCCACCCGGTAAAACTTGCCTGACTTTGAGTAGTGAACGTCCACTCTGTGTGTTGGGCTGGCATCCCAGGGATCATGATCTCCCTCACCCCCAAATATCTCCTTGATGTCAGTTGCCATTTCACATCCACCTGGCTTAGAAGTGTACCTCTTTGGTCCTTAGATTTTTCAGTGATCTTTCAGTATTACCAATTTACCCTCCAATTATACCCCTGATGGTTTTTTTAAAAAAAATCTAGGTAGGAGAAGAAAGAGTGGAGAAAGAAAGTAGATTGGTTATTTTAGCATAGAACGCATTCCTGTTTTATAGATGAGGAAAAGGTAAGAAAATGGGAGTGGAGAGGACACAGAATTTAGATGGCTTGCCCTAAGGCTACACAATTAAATAGCAGCAGAATTGGGATTCACATCTGTTTCTTAGGCCAGTCCAATTTAGTCTCTAGTATCTGAAATTGAGTTGTATTTTGGTATAATTTATGAGAACATTTCAAGTCTTGTAGATTTTATCTGAAGAGTCCACGAGTTAGTGTTGATTGGATGGTTGTGCCCCACCTCTCTTCCTTTCCACATTGAGCATCTGTGTGCCAGCATGTTCTGCTGTGGACTGTGAGGCAGAGAAGAGAGTGTATCCTTACCTTTTAATGCCATCCTAACCTTGCCTTAACCTACCTTAACCTGTAGGTTCTGACTGGGTGACTGGGCTTTTCTTCTCCTCCTCTTTCCTTCCTTAGTATACTGAGTTTCATAGTCATTTCTTTATCCTCTTCACTGAACAAGTACATGTTAATAAACAGCTTCCTAATGGTTTCACTGGTCATGAAAAGAGGCTTGTTCAGGGTCTTCCTATTCCCCTGTTCCTCCCTACTTCCATTCCTTTAAGATCCTATAGAGAAAGATGAGGGAAACATAATTATGGTGACCATTCACTTGGATTGCTGGGGCAGTCTGGGTTTACTCTTGTTTTTTTGGTGTAACTTCTTTTTTTTTTAATTTCAGCATATTATGGGGGTACAGATGACATAACTTTTTTTAAAATTAGAGACAGGGTCTCTGACTCTGTCACCCAGGCTGGAGTGTAGTGGCACGATAGTAGCTCGCTGTAACCTTGAACTCTTGGGCTCAGGAGATCCTCCTACATCAGCCTCCTGAGTAGTGGGGGCTACAGGCACACATTACCATGCCCAGCTAATTTTTAAATTTTTATTGTCGTAGAGATGATGCTTGCTATGTTGCCCAGGCTGGTCTTGAACTCTTGACTTCAAGCGATCCTCTTGCTTTGGCTTTCTAAAGTGCTGGGATTACAATTGTGAGCCACCATGTTTGGCCTTCTTGGTGTAATTATCGATAGCTCCCCATTTTACTCTCATATATGCCAAGGTTTGAAGAGTAAATTATGTGGCCATCTTATATGTGAGTGTTCTGTGTCTGTGAAGACACAAAAGTCTGAAGGAAATTCTCTGTACTTCACAAGGTCCAGTAAGCTCTAGTCTTCTGGGATTTTGGTTTTGGGATATGAGGGGAAGTAGACAGATGACAATGAACTGAAAAGGTGGGGTGTGAGACTTAGGTCCTGCCAGTGATGATAGAGGGTGTGCACTGGGGCTCATCCACCTTTTGTTAGGGTTCATTTTGTTTCCAGGATGAGAAAGAACAAGTCCCCGCCCCCCACCTTGCTCTTGCTGCTTTTGGAACTGGAATGAAGGGCAGGATTGAGGGTAGGGAGGGTCCTGGGCATTAGGGAGGGTGATGGACAGTATTGAAGGGGAAGGTAGTTTGAGATGATGGTGGCTGGAAGACAGTGGAGCGCTGTAGTGACCTATTTTGGTATCAAGGACAGAGTAGGTCGTCATTGCCTGTGCTCATCATTGGAGAAGCAGGGAAGCCACAAGGTGTGACCCACGTTTTAGGGAATATGGAAGTGGTACATCATGTTTGCAAGATTGAAGATTGTCGGTGTTCCTGCACAAGAGTTCTGTGTGTTGGTTTGTCCTCTAGTCTCTGGATTTGGGATTGACCATGCTCTTTCTGTATTACAGAAGGTCCCTGTTGTAAAAGAGGAAGATGAGCCAGAGGAAGAAGATGAAGAAGAAATGGGTCATGCAGAAACCTATGCAGAGTATATGCCAATAAAATGTATGTTTTTGGGATTTGTCAAAATAATGAAAGACTTCAGGGTTCCTCTTGAGCTTAAATAACTCTCCCCCCTCCCCACACTGTTAGCTGTTAGGACCTGTCACTGTTGGTACCTCAGTACTTGACAAGTATGGGCTTTGTAATATGTTTTAAAATGTGATCTGTTTTTAAAATATTTACATGAAAGTTTTACTGTGGTGTTTTGCATTTTTTTCCCTATACAAATTTAGAAACTTGTTTTAGGTTGATGTCTCTTAAAAGCAAAACTAAAAAAAAGCTTGGGTTTTATTTTGTTTCGAGTTAATTTTGCTTATGTGAGTAGTGATTATAAAAATCAGCTAATTGTAGAGATATAAATATGTATCTTAGCTTTGTATATTTTATGCAGCTTGTCTAAAATCATGAAAATGTTGGAATCTTAAAATAATTTGTGCTATTTGAAATCAGTGGTTGTCATTAACACCATTTCTGTTTTTTGTATAACGACCACGATTCATTTTTTAGTAGCCACTATATAAAGTTGAAAATTAAGTTTTTAGCTTTTGTATAACATTTTCACTTTTTCATTATATGAGATAATAACAGAAAATAAATCTATGTCTAGAATTTGTCTTTCATGTACTCTTGGTTTCTATAAAAAGCTGCCAGTAATCCTGTTTAAATTGAACTACGATTATCTTTTCACCAACTGTAGGTGGACTCCAAGATCCTATACTTTTCTAGTCATTTAAAATGAATTTCAGGTGTTAGTATCTGAACTTTTGTCTCCCCCACCCCCACCAAATAATAGATTTTGCAAAAGGATTAAAACAATTTATCCATGGCCCTTCAGGCCATAGGTCAGCAAACTATCTGGACCACTGCCTGATTTGGACAATAAAGTTTTATTAGAACAAAGGCATCCCCATTGGTTTATTTATTGTCTATTGTTGCCTTGACACTACAACAGCAATGTTAAGTAGTAGTTATCCAAGAGATGGCCTGCGAAGCCAGAAACATTTATTATCTGACCCTTTGTAGAAAAAGTTTACCTGCCATTATTTTAACCTGTTCACATTGTACATTTTGGGGAGTTAGTTGCCGTTTATTTATTTTTTTTTGAGACAGAGTCTCACTGTGTTGCCCGGGCTAGAGTGCCGTCACGTCAGCCTAGCTCACAGCAACCTCAAACTCCTGGGCTCAAGTGATCCTTCTGCCTCAGCCTCCCGAGTAGCTGGGACTACAGGCATGCGCCACCATGCCCGGCTAATTTTTTCTATAAATTTTTAGTTGTCTGATTAATTTCTTTCTATTTTTAGTAGAGACCGGGTCTCGCTCTTGCTCAGGCTGGTTTCGAACTCCTGAGCTGAAACAATCCGCCCGCCTCGGCCTCCCAGAGAGCTAGGATTACAGACGTGAGCCACCGCGCCCGGCCAGTTGCCGTTTATTTTTATAGCCAAAGTTTCCTTTCAGCTACCTTTCAGAGTAAAATTATATTGCACATTTGTTTTACTGAATGAAGGTGAATGATTCAAGTAACTAAACAATTTTTAATATACAGGATTATGTTCTGTTACTACTGGAGAGTCTTGTGTTATGAAGTACATTGGTGTTTTTGTAGATCTTTTTGTCAGCAAGTCCATTTCAACCATATGTAGATGATAAAATGATTTTAGTCAAATTTAAACAGGACTGTACCAGCAGTGACTTTTTATTAGAGGCTCCAGTGAATCGTTACATATTATGTTTTCTCCGTCACAGGAAAAAATTGCAGTATCTTAAAACTGGAACTGTTGTTAATGGAATATTTTTATATTTTTATTTAGTAAAAATTGGCTTACGTCACCCAGATGCTGTAGTGGAAACTAGCTCTTTATCCAGTGTTACTCCTCCTGATGTTTGGTACAAAACATCCATTTCTGAAGAAACCATTGATAATGGCTGGTTATCAGCATTGCAGCTTGAGGCAATTACATATGCAGCCCAGGTAAGCGATAGTGTTTTATAGTTACATGTAATATTTATCTTTTTATCTTAGTTTATATAATATAGTTGTTTTAATCCAAAGGTAAGTTTTTCTTGATGAAAAACTTGTAACTGATTTTTATAAAAGTTTTATGTGTTAGAAAAATAAAAAGGTCGAGCAGGAATGTGGACAGTGCATTGCCAGTGAAAATGGTAAGTGTCATAACCTTCTTGGAATTTATTGGGAATATCTATTAAAATTGAAAAATACACATATCCTTTGACTTAGCAATTCCATTCCTAGGACTCTATTCCATAGATCTGTTAGATAAAAAGATATGTTATAGTTATTTGCTGTAGCTTTTGCCCCCTTAGTTGAAAAAGATTTGAGCACTTTTCACTGTTGAGGGATGATTGAATAAATTGTGTTATTACTTTATGTTGGGGTGTTGCATGGGCTTTTAAAAGGGTATGAATTAAGAGTTATACACTGGTTGTCTTGAAAGTATCCTTAAAGTAAGCAATGATCAAAATAGCCAACTATCCCTGTATTTATGTGTGATATAAAAGTTTGTATTTGATTATGCAGGTGTTAAAAGGGATATGGAGGAATCCTCACCAATTTTTTAACTTTAGTTACATGGTACATGGTAGAGTAGCAGGAAAGAATATATAGTAAATATCCACATTAAAAAAGCTGAACTGCATGCCATTTATATAACAATAGTTAACATCAACATATTTCTAAAACAGTGTATGAGAGATTGATCACCAAAGTAACCTGAAGGATTAAATACCGGCTGTTTCTTTTTCAGCAACATGAAACTTTCCTCCCTAATGGAGATCGCGCTGGCTTCTTAATAGGTGATGGTGCTGGTGTAGGAAAAGGAAGGACGATAGCAGGAATCATCTATGAAAATTATTTGTTAAGTAGAAAGAGAGCATTGTGGTAAGTGTTAAAGACTGGCTGTGGAAGTTTTTGTGGGTGAATAATTTCGCATGTGGGGATGGGTTTTCATGAGTAGGTGTATTTTTTTTTGAAATGTCAAGACTTGGCTTTATTTATTCCTGAATTTTGCTAGAATGATGTAATTTGCATTTAATTTGATTTTCTCTTCTTTCGGGGGCAGGTTTAGTGTTTCAAATGACTTAAAGTATGATGCTGAAAGAGATTTGAGGGATATTGGAGCAAAAAACATTTTGGTTCATTCATTAAATAAGGTATGAAAATTTTCTATTCAGTTGATCATTTGGTAAATATTGACTCATCTGTGAGATGGGAATAATAATTTCTCTTTTGTACAGTTTTAATGAGGATTAAATGGGTTATTCTACAGAAAGGATAGTGAGTGCTAGCCGCTATTGTTGGCTTGTGGATTACTGTGTGTTAAATACTATGCCAGGCTGTAGCCACTTGCCATTGAACAGTTGAAATGACTAGTCTAAATTGAAATGTGCTATAAGTGTAAAATGCATACCAGTTTGCTCTCTAAATCTTCACTATCATTTTTGTCTTTGTTTCTGAAGTAATTTGAGCTGGGTACGGTAGTTTGCGCCAATAGTCCCAGCTACAAGGGAGGCTGAGGTGAGAGGGATCACTTGAGGCCAGGAGTTCGAGACCTTGTCTGTAAAAAATAAATAAATAAAGATAAAGATACCATTCTATGTGTGTGTGAGGGCACAATGTAGACAAGTAGTGTGCCTAGCACTGCGGGTCACCAAATCCTAGAGAGCATATACAGAATTGTGGCTTGGGAAGACTGGTTTGAAAATTTGTATAGCTAGTGAACTTGAATACCTGTACCTGTACTTATGTGGAAGTAGTTCTGTGAAGTGGAAGAAAATGTGTGCCAGCATCTTTTAGAATCTTAATGTTCACTTAGCAAGTCTTTATTGACCACTGTGCATGCACTAATTGTTGGTGTTATAAGGGTAGAATAGACAGATACGGTTCCTGCAGGTGCCTCTCTACTAGCCATTTGAGTAACTAACTACATGTCTGCTTTCCCCATGAGTCCTAAGTTGATTCATTGTTGCTCTGTTCACCAGTGGCTTGTTTGGGTGGGTTTTACTGGATGGGTTGGTAGTTAAAGTACTATGTCCTGAATGACTACAGACCGTTCAGAACTAAAAACATGTAACTGGCATCTAGAAACGTTTTTGATTTCTGAGCAGTGTAATCGAAGAAGGGCACATTAACTATAACTCATAATTCTTATGTATCCCTCAGAACTTAATCACAATGCTATACATACAGTAAGTTACATAATAAACATTTGAAGAGTAAATATTTTGACTTTTTTCTTACAGGGTAATTTGTGTGGCTTTTAATTCTTTTTTTTTTGGTGTTAGATTTGAGACTTAGAAAACTGGATCCTTGTACCACAAAGTTGTGTGTGTGTGTACATGTACATATATATAAAAAATTATGTGTATCGGCCGGGCGCAGTGGCTCACGCCTGTAATCCTAGCACTCTGGGAGGTCGAGGCGGGCGGATTGTTTGAGCTCAGGAGTTCGAGACCAGCCTAAGCAAGAGTGAGACCCCGTCTCTACCAAAAATAGAAAGAAATTAATTGGACAGCTAAAAATATATAGAAAAAAATTAGCCGGGCATGGTGGCACATGCCTGCAGTCCCAGCTACTTGGGAGGCTGAGGCAGTAGGATTGCTTGAGCCCAGGAGTCTGAGGTTTCTGTGAGCTGGGCTGACGCCATGGCACTCACTCTAGCCCAGGCAACAGAGTGAGAGTCTGTCTGGAAAAAAAAAAAAAAAAAATTATGTGTATCATCTTAGGAGGTACTTTGACTTTTCTGAAACCTGTCATGGGCCTACCAGGTTAAGAATTCCTGCTTGTAGAAGTTTGGGTGGGATAAATGTTTCTGAGAAAGGCATATTAATTCTTCTCTTTTCTTTTCTTAGTTTAAATATGGAAAAATTTCTTCTAAACATAACGGGAGTGTGAAAAAGGGCGTTATTTTTGCTACCTATTCTTCCCTTATTGGTGAGAGCCAGTCTGGCGGTAAATATAAAACAAGGTTGAAACAGCTTCTACATTGGTGCGGTGATGACTTTGATGGAGTGGTATCCTTTATAGCAAATGTTTTCATATTTTAGTGACAGAAAAATTATATAAAGACAGACCTTTGGAAAACAGGCATCTTGAGGTTAAATAAATGTTGGAGTGAGAGTTTTATTGATTACATAGAGTCCAAGGGGGTTAGGAAGTTGATTCTATTGTATATCTGTCAGATAGGAGACCAATATTTAAGCTCCTGGGTTAGAAAAATGTTAATAGGTATGGAGAATGCCGAATACTATATTTCCCTCTTGGGACTTCGCATTGCATGTTTACGTAATAAAGTACCTGTGAAGACTAGGGAAAGAACACAGTTAACTTAGTGATTCCCCAGCTTACTTGCTCACAGTGTATCTTATGCTATCCTGCATGAAGAATACCAAGTTTTGAAATGCTGATTAACTTGGTTTCCAGTCATGCTTTCTACTTAACAGCATGTACCAAAATAATAACTGTTCTTGCTGTAGTGGGCTTTTTCCTCCATTCTAATTAAGAGCTAAGTATCTGGTTAAGACAAATACCAAATTCAGTGGGTGCCTTTGATGCTAAAGAGAGAGGGAGCTTCCTTTATAGTTGTAATTTTAAAGGAAAAGACACTCTGAAAACCTCAGGGAAATAAAAGTTAACTATACCCTGAAAGATTGGAGACACTTACTATTAATGTGATGTGTTCCTTAATTCATTCCTTACAGATAGTGTTTGATGAATGTCATAAAGCAAAAAACTTATGTCCTGTTGGTTCCTCAAAGCCAACCAAGACAGGTTTAGCAGTTCTAGAACTTCAGAACAAATTGCCAAAAGCCAGAGTTGTTTATGCTAGTGCCACTGGTGAGTAGTTATTTATTTTAAAAGATATATGTAGGATTTTTTTCAGCTATAATATGTTTCATTTGGGGGTTTTTCAGGTGCTTCTGAACCACGCAACATGGCCTATATGAACCGTCTTGGAATATGGGGTGAGGGGACTCCATTTAGAGAATTCAGCGATTTTATTCAAGCAGTAGAACGGAGGTAATGGAATTTATGGTATATACTGGTCTCAGCAATCTAAGAAATGTGTTACTGCTAAAACGTCTTTACTGCATGTTAAAATTCTACTTTACTGATAGTTACTGTGTGTGTTTCAATTTTGTTCAGAGGTGTTGGTGCCATGGAAATAGTTGCTATGGATATGAAGCTTAGAGGAATGTACATTGCACGACAGCTGAGCTTTACTGGAGTGACCTTTAAAATTGAGGAAGTTCTTCTTTCTCAGAGTTATGTTAAAATGTATAACAAAGCAGTCAAACTGGTAAGAAGTTTTTCTTAATTCCTAGTATTTATTTAAGATATCTGATAATGTTTCTGTTTGTTTTGTCCATTGTAATATATGCCAGCCCACAGGAATGTGTTTCTGCCATTTAACAAAAAAACAACAAATAGATAAATTACCAGATGGCAGGGTATTGAACCAATATCCTTATTTTCTAAATTTTCACTTTTTAAAAATCATAAAAAATAGCCATTTATATCAGTTGCATAGTTCTTAAAATCACAATGTAACTGCTTTCTAGAATGACTACATTAGGATGCAGTCCTAATTTGAGACCACTCTATCTGAGCATCCTAGGAAAAACAACTATCTAGAGATTCCGAAGTCACAGAATATGATTTATTAGATTATTTTAAATGGCCTTGCGATGAACATTATTGCAATTGAACCAGTCATTTCTAAATAATTGCGCTCAAAGATGAAATATCTGAAATGTTGATTGTGTATCTTCAGTGGGTTATTGCTAGAGAGCGATTTCAGCAAGCTGCAGATCTGATTGATGCTGAGCAACGAATGAAGAAGTCCATGTGGGGTCAGTTCTGGTCTGCTCACCAGAGGTTTTTCAAATACTTATGCATAGCATCGAAAGTTAAAAGGGTTGTGCAGCTAGCTCGAGAAGAAATCAAGAATGGAAAAGTAAGTTGGAGCTCATTAAGAGATTCTTTTTGGTTATGTTTTTAAGTCTTTGTGGGTGTTGAGGTTTTCTACTTATAAAATCTGGTCTTCCTAAAGGATAGTTATAAAAATATTAATGTAGTAAGACTTTAAAAAACACATTTTTTAAATTATAAAAGCAGTGCTTGTTTAGAGAATTTAGATAGCTCAATAAAAATATAATAAAATAATCATCACTATAATTTGGTCATCCGTAGTTATCACCACTGATGACATGGATATGTGTATTGCCTTAAGGTTTTTTCATTTTTGGCAAATACGTATCTTCTTAAAGCACAAAAGACAGTAAACTCTACAAGGGCAGGGGCTTCAGTCATGCTCACAACTGTAATCCTATTTCCTGCTTAAGTCTTTGGCATACAACATATCTCAAATATATAGAACAAATAAGTGAAACAAATGGTGTACTTTACAATAATGAGATTCTTCTTTGAATCTTTTTTTAACTAAATATTTAAAATATGTCTTGATAAGAAACCACAAACATTATTTATAATTAATATATTTTGTTTTTTTCTTCAGTGTGTTGTAATTGGTCTGCAATCTACAGGAGAAGCTAGAACTTTAGAAGCTTTGGAAGAGGGCGGGGGAGAATTGAACGATTTTGTTTCAACTGCCAAGTAATGTCTTCGGTTTTTTTTTTTTTTTTTTTTGAGGTTTTACTTAGATTAGTTCAAATGTTGGCATTACCTGGGGCCAACACTTTTGATTCAGCCATGTAATCCTTAAGTTTTCCTGATCTGAGTTTTTGCAATTCTATACTTTTATGTAACAGTGTATGTGTTGGAGAACAATAGCATAGAAATCTCATAATCCTAAAATGTTAACTATTTTGCCAGTATTATACACAGTATGTGGACCAAGAAGAGCTTGATTTTGTTTGTCTTGTACATCTTGGAAATTTGTGACAGTTTGGTTTAGTTTTAGTTACGGTTTTGTGTATTTGAAATTACTGCTATCCAGAGAATTATTAACTATAGTTTGCCCCAATATAATAAGGTCTGCTATAAAAATTGGAAATAAATGTGAGATCTTCAAAAAGAGCTTTAGAAAATATTTTAGGCATTGTTTTCAATTTGTTTAACCTACCAGTTCTCACGCTGGTAGTAAAATTAGCAAAATAACTTTTGCTACTATACTGTTTTTGCCTTAGGGGATACATTCAAATGCTTCTTTTAAAAGCAAAACATATATTTGCTAATCTGTATTTTTCTGTACACAAATACCTAGAACTCCCTTGTCCAAAATGGCAGCTGCTCATCACATGTGGCTACTGAGCAGTCGAACTGACTAGTCCAAATTAAGATGGCTATACATGTAAAATACATGGCTTCAAAGGCTCCGTAAGAAAAAAGAATGTGACACATCTCACTGATTATATATCAAAGTGGTATATTGAGTTAAGTAAACTATGTTATTAAAGTTAGTTTCACCAGTTTTACTTTATAATGTAGCTACTAGAAAATCAAAAATTTTTATGTGTGGCTTAGCTTGTATTGTTACTCAGTTGGACAGCCTTGGCCCAGAAAACTAAAATTCATTTGAGCTGGGTTCAGTATTTCGTAAAACTGAATAAAGTATTTTTCTTTTTTAAGAGATATATTCAGTAATATTTTACATACAGTGAATTATTTTGCCAAATGAAGCAGTAATTATCCGTGTTTCTTTACTGCAGAGGAGTGTTACAGTCACTCATTGAAAAACACTTCCCTGCTCCAGACAGGAAAAAACTTTATAGTTTGCTGGGAATCGATTTGACAGCTCCCAGTAACAACAGTTCACCAAGAAATAGTCCTTGTAAAGAAAATAAAATAAAGAAGCGGAAAGGTGGGTACTTCTACAAAAATAGCTAATGTTGAAAGTACTGTAAATTTGAGTGTTTTAAAGTGGTTATATTTTGAGAGGGAACTACTTTCCTCCAGTTGACAAGTGGTTGCGTGTTTTCACTGCCACTTCCTGTAGTTTTGAATGTACAAGTTAACCCATTTTAAATTAGGACTTGAACGATTAAGTGGTGCTAGGCAATATGGTAGCATTTGGCCATCCATTCTATCATGTAACCCACCAGGAGTCAGCATGAAATTAGGGCTTATTTTTCCAGTTTTATAGAAGTGAACACTAAAGCACAGAAAGATTAAGAGATTAAGAAATTTTCCCAGATTCACACAGATAGGGAATGGTGCACAGGAACTAAAATCTGAGTCTTTCTGTTGTCAAACCTGCCTTTTAACATATATAGAACTGAGTGGGCCAGGAATGGCTCACGCCTATAATCAAAGTGCTTGGGGGGGGGTGTGAGGCGGGAGGATGGCTTGAGCCCAGGAGTTTGAGATTGCAGTGCCCTATGATCATGCCACTGCACTCTAGCCTGGGTGACAGAGTGAGACCCTGTCTCTTAAAAAAAAAAAACAAAAAAAAAAAACTGGGTATTTTAATAATAATCTTTTTAAAAGAGGCTCCTATTTTTACTTAAATTATTAGGAATAAATTCACCTATGTTTGGTAAACAGTTTTAATAGTGCAAACTTGAATTTGTGTTTAGGTGCTTTCTAAGTTGTTTGAGAAGTTAACTTTCAGGCTCTCTTCTCTAAAATGGTAATACCAAGGAGGGGATAGGTAAATTCACACCTCACAGGTACAGTGCACACTAACTGGGTGAAGGGCACAGTTATAACTTCGACTCAAACTGTGTAAGAGCAAATTACGTAATCAAAATGTATGTACCCCTATAAAATTCTGAAATTAAAACAAAAAGTGAATACGGCCTGTAATCCTAGCACTCTGGGAGGCCGAGGCAGGCGGATTGTTTGAGCTCAGGAGTTCGAGACCAGCCTGAGCAAGAGCAAGACCCCGTCTCTACTAAAAAATAGAAAGAAATGATCTGAACAACTAAAAATATATATATATGTATGTAAATTAGCCGGGCATGGTGGCACATGCCTGTAGTCCCAGCTACTCGGGAGGCTGAGGCAGAAGGATCGCTTGAGCCCAGGACTTTGAGACCAGCCTGGGCAACACACACAGTGACACACTGTCTATTCAAAAATCTTTTTAAAATTAGCCAGACATGGTTGCACACGCTGGCACACACACAGTCCCAGCTATGCAGGAGGCTAAGGCAGGAGGACTGCTTGAACCTAGGAATTCAAGGTTGCAATGAGCTATGATGACACACTGTACTCTAGCCTGGGCAACAGAGCAAGACTGATTCTTTTTTTAAAAAAAAACAAAAACTCACAATCAAAACTAAGAACATTAAAAAGTTCCTATATTAATGAGATGGTGAGAACATAATTCAGGAAAAAGAAATGTGACAATTTGGCCATCATAAGAGCCACTGATTCTAAGAC